AAAGGTCAAATGTGTGACAGAACAGCGTGATAATGACATATTAACACCCAATTCGACAAATCTTGTTCCCCTGATTTAAGACAATCAATTTATTTGGTACACACCCCAAAAATTTCACATTATTATTTTTTCAGCAATATGGTGTTTACCATATCGTGCAGCCCTAACTCAACCATCTTCATTGACAGGATCATGACAAAGAAAATGCACAGATGGATGCCACACACAGCCACACCAATTTTGACCTAGAGACAGGCAAGGTGCTGTGAATCCCAAGTGAAAGTATCAGCAGCAGCAACATGTGGACAGCCTGCCTGCCTGCCTTGTCTGTCTGTCTGTCTGTCTGTGGGTGGGTGTGTCTATCATGCCAGTCACACTCATGAAGCTGCAGCAGAAACACGACATGTCCTCCTGACATCCTGCTCAGCACCACACACACACACACACACAATCTCAAGCCAGATCTTCACAGTCATGTGATGTACAGGTGAGACTGTCGGCATGTTAATAAGGCAGACATTTACCCCCAATAACAGACAAGTCAAGCTAAAATAACATCTTTGCACAAATAATAGCCTCAAACATCTCCTGCACACTGAGCAGTGTCTACATATGACTGGTGTAAAGATAACACAACACAGACACAATGACCCACGTCCAGTAACATGCCCTAATGTCTCCTTTCCAAAAGGTTAGCCAATAATGTTAAGAGAACAAGAGTCATACACACCGCCCTCTGTCTGTCTGTCTGTCTCTGTCTCTTGGTGCCCACAACTACCAGACAGCTTAGCAGGTCCTGATAAGTGACGATTAGCGTTGCAACGGGCACCTCAGCCGTGCAGCGTTTTCACGTGGTCCACTTTCCTTCATTAGCATTTGAATTTGCCTATTCTGTTCAGAAACAGCCCAGCCCTTAGTCTTCATTTGCCTCAGTATTTCCCAGTTGACTGATTAATAGGTTGCTGCGCAACATTGCCTTAGCTCCCATGCTAGTGACACACTCCGGTCCTCGGCTTCTCTCAGCTCTTTGTAACCAACATGGTGCAGTGGCTCCGAGAGGAAGGGAGGAGGGAAGACGGGAAGACGGGAGGAGGGAGGGAGGGAGTGAGTGAAAGAGAAGGAGCGAAACAGCGAGAAACCAAAGCATGCTACGGGCATATGACAAAGCACCACCTACTGTCACATATATGTACTGTATGCTAAGCACACACAATTCATCTGAGTAACCTCCACAGTGCTACAAAGAGTTAAATCTCAGACAGGGTCTTTGTGTGAGTGTGAGAGAGAGAGAGACAAGTGGGCCAGTTTGTGTGACAGGCAGCAAAGAGATTTAGTTACCCTTTACATAACCTCCCTCTTATACCCAGACACACACACACACACACACACACACACACACTCATCAGAGGGGGAGGGGCTGTACAGCTAGCGGCAGACAGAAAAAAAGGCTGCTCCTCCCCCCTCTATGTCTCTCCTTCTCACCCCACTTGCCTGTATTCCCTCCCTCCCTTCTATTCCTCTTTTTAACTCCCTCCTCCCCCCTTCACATTTCCTAATTCAAGGATCCCATCTTCTCACTGCTGCACCTTTCACACTGAGCTCTCAATCTGTGGCCGACACAGATCAACTGTCATTGAAAAAGGGTCACCCGGAGACAGGGTGACCCACACCTTTCAGTTCCTCTCCTGCTCAAACACAAATGTGTGCATGAGGCAGGTCTACTGAATGCTTATTCAACCAGTATTTGACCCACTGATGGGAGACTGTCAAAAGGTTAATCCCTTGTTGGTACTGTAGAGACTAACATCTACAACAGTATGTCCATTCACATCACTGCGAGACCTTAGAAACACAAACACTATAACAGTACAGAGAAATACTATTAAGTTACATTTTAGTTCTCTCTGCACATCAGGGACATGATGTTCAATAACAATACTGATCAATAAAACTATCTGTAATGCAAACATAAACAAAGAAATCCCAGTAGCGTGATCTGCACTGAACGCGGGGGAGGGCGAGCTGGGTCAAACTGCCAGGTCAGGTGGTTCATACTGACCCATTCAGACTGACTGCCAAAGCAGGTTTAACCTGTGCCACTATCTGTCTGAAAGGGGTTATTGGGTTTACTGTCAAGTGAAGTCCAAATGAGTGATTTCATCCCACACTGACTAACATACACTGTTTACCGTTGTGCTGAACACTGACTAGATGAACTGACCTGGAAATGAAACTATTTTCCAATGCTGTTCTGAGAATTCTGGGACACTTTTAGGGACGAACCTAATTTTGGGTGATAACCTTCCTTATCGTTCAACTGACACAGTCTGTAAACTTGATACTTTAACCTTCATTACCAGGCTGTAAAATTCAATAGTATCTATAGTATTCACATACTATAGATGCTGATCTTTATAAATGCTTGCACATCTCCAACAACTTTAAATTGTCACATTTACAGTATTTCACATCTGTGGGTCTTTGGTTTATTTAATACAATGCATTTACTTTTATATAACAAATTACAATTCAAAAAGGGGCGTGAGAGGCGAGTAAGCGTTTGGCTAGTTCAGTCCAGACCGAGTCTGACCTACGTTTGGCTGTATCTGTCATCAGGACTAACTGTCTGTCTGTCAGCAGCTCCTGAGGGGCTGAAAGGACAAGTGTCTTTATCAGGCTGACTGGCTGATGGAGGAAGAAATCAGCACTGTTATTGTGATATGAGTTAAAGGAAATGCCAGAATATGCCACATAATGAAACTCACCACGACGCTGAGAGCCTTCCTTGATCAGTGATTATTTTTTGTTTGTTTTATGTTTTTTCAGAATATACAAACAAATAAAATGGAATAAACTGCTGGCTGTGGAGATTACATTTCACTAAGCAAGCCAGAGGAAAAAACTTAATAGACTTGCAGCATAAAAAACATGGAGGATCCCCGGGGTGACAGACGTGTGGATTGATACATTTGATAAAATCTAAGTGTTCCAGTGGCCCCGCCAGTGGCGAACGTTAGAAACACTTCTAAACGCACTTTCTACGTGGATTAGCCTTCAGATTGTTCTGACCTGCATGAAAAAAATCTAATTATACTCATTAGCCACAGCCTCCAGGCCTACTCCCAGTTATTTGGGTAGGTAATGTAAACAACTTTTCATATAAACAAAATAAAACACAATTGTGCGTTTGATGTAGTACTGTAGACTCAGATACAGGCAATTTCCAACATGGGTTGAACATGGGTCCTGAGTGTTTAATATGTGATATAATAATAGTGCTTTGGTCAACTTTTACTTTACTTTTAACCCTTTTGCTTTCTCTAATGCCACCTCTACACTCTGTCACAACACCCCCTTTCTCGCCATTATCTGATGCTGGCTCTACAGGGTTGATATGTGATCCGGTCAGCCTAGCGGCAGCCCTGCATTCCGCCCAGCAACCATATACTAACATAAACACACTAAATCTCTACCTAGCCTTCATAACAGTGCTCCAACATTATCAGTAAATAAAGTAACAATGTATGTACAATGCATGTAGGAATATCAGTGTACTAAAAGAATTTCATATTAAGTGAACAAGCATTGGTTTCAGACCTAAATCACTGCATCTGTCAGACCTTCACATATAACCTAAGGGGACAGACACACACCAGTCTGCATAAATCCTACATACACAGCGTGTTTACACTGCAGACCAACAGGCTTAATATGCGCAACACATGACACATGGCCACAGCCAGCATTCACAGACGCAAGACTCATACTGAGCAGTCAGCACACAACCCTGGCTGCTTCTCAGATCTCACACATGGGAGAAAGAGGGAAGGAGGGGGTCACTGTGTGCTTAGAATAACCCTCAACCCAGAACATGTAACCAGGACGACCGAAGAAGGACGAAACCACTCAATGGACCTCTTCAGAAGACATGAACACACACACTTTCTCCAGTTCCCCCC